CTGTTACATTATGATTATATATTCAGTGGCATAAAATGGTCTTTAAAATGACAATAATATCGCTTATCGCAATTATTTCTGGGGCAATATATCGCACAACAAAAAGTTGTTATCATGACAGGCATAATGATGAAGTCGCTTAGCTTATATTAAACATAAAAATTTAATAAAACGAATAAACTGATGACTTGGTGTAACCGCGTTGTAACATAAAAATAAAAAAAGTCTTTGTATTGTCCCCTTTGTGGCTCATTATTATTATTATTAATTTTATTATAATAATAATAAAAAACATATAGGTCCACAATAAAGTAGCATCATTAAGAAATTCACATATTAAAGTGAAGTTTTATTAACAAAATGACAATTTTGTTTATAAAATTTGTAATCGCAAATATAATGGATTTCCCCTTTTAAAACGATCGTAGTTTGTGGTTCATTGTTATTAAAACTGATCAGTCATATAGTACAATGGCAAATTCGCATTTATTAAACCTCTAACTCTTATCAACAAATTGAAGAAAACGGAGCCTATACTTGCGTTGTAACCCAAATAAATAAGGTTTCCCTAATCTAAAACGAATGCTTAGTTTGTGGTTCGTCTTTGTTTTTTAATGAAAACACAGCAACAATAAAGAGCAACTCAGTTTGATGAAGTCGCTTAGCTTATATTAAACATAAAAATTTAATAAAACGAATAAACTGATGACTTGGTGTAACCGCGTTGTAACATAAAAATAAAAAAAGTCTTTGTATTGTCCCCTTTGTGGCTCATTATTATTATTATTAATTTTATTATAATAATAATAAAAAACATATAGGTCCACAATAAAGTAGCATCATTAAGAAATTCACATATTAAAGTGAAGTTTTATTAACAAAATGACAATTTTGTTTATAAAATTTGTAATCGCAAATATAATGGATTTCCCCTTTTAAAACGATCGTAGTTTGTGGTTCATTGTTATTAAAACTGATCAGTCATATAGTACAATGGCAAATTCGCATTTATTAAACCTCTAACTCTTATCAACAAATTGAAGAAAACGGAGCCTATACTTGCGTTGTAACCCAAATAAATAAGGTTTCCCTTATTTAAAACGAATGCTTAGTTTGTGGTTCATCTTTGATTTTTAATGAAAACACAGCAACAATAAAGACCAACTCAGTTATTTTAAAAGAAATAAATTAAACGTTTATTAACAAAAGTTCTCTTGCGCTTTTGGATCCGCCACCAGTCATTTCGCTTCAAAAAATGTTGCTTTACCAGTCGGTGGGCCGTGAATAATTTGCCAATTTGCTTTCCATTTCAACTATTGCTGTGCAAAACTCACTGACAGTGCTTGGGTGAGTGGTTGCCAGAGCAATGCTATATGGTTGCAAAGGTGTGCTAAGTGGTTTTGATGCATTGCTGCATGGTTGCTATGGTGTTCTTGATGGTTTCTGGTAGGGATGTAACGGTATGAAAATTTCCTATCACGGTTATAGTTACCACACTTGTCACGGTTATCGGTATTATCACGGTATTGTTAAAATGTGCTGGAGATGTTAAAAAAGTACAGACACATAAATCACTTCAAGTTTTATATTTAAAAATCAACAAACAACAAATAAAATGACTTTTT